CCCCCAATTCCAGATCCAGCCACAGTGGTTAAAGTGGGTCCCCAGGCATGGGCCTTTCCTGAAATCACGCTGTCTCACAGATGGCAGCGTATCCTTGTCACAAAGAAAGTTTTGAACAATGTCCTTCTCTGACTGTCAGGAGAAGTAGGTTGGTCAGACTCAGTTGCCTGCCCTCTTGCAGCCCATCTCTCTCAGTAGGAAGGACGGAATGGGGACGGTCCTGCTGGGGTGTTCCTCCTGAAACACCTGTTTCTGGGGAACCTCGGTCCTCCCCGTAAGGCAGGAGAGCCTAGTGGTTTAACCATGGGCAAAATATTCAAGGCAGACAGACCGAGGCGGACATCTCAGCTCTGCCAGCTAACCTTAGTCACGTTCCTTATTGGTAACTGGCTTCATTTTCTTCTGCAAATTCCACATGCATAGAACCCCTTCATAGTTCTGTTTAAAACCAGGACCCCAGAAGGAAGGAAAAGCAAAATGGAAAAGGTGCCGCTGAGGCCTTGCCTATAATGAGGATCACATAAGGGATGGACTCACATAAGGATGGACTCTCTGGGGAGCACAAGTGGTTCAGCTCTCAACAATTCTCAGCAAAGTTGGTGGTGCAGATCCACCCAGAGGTGCCTCAGAAGACAGGCCTGGCGACTTGTTTTTGAAATCCAGAGCCATGGAAGCCCCTGGGAGGAGCACGGCTCTGCTGTGAGACACGTGGGCTCACCAGGAGTGGGAACCAACAAGATGGTTTGGGGTGTCGGTCTGGCCCTGCACACTGCCCATTGCATTTGTTTTTTAACAACAACAACCCCCAGAGCTGCCCCGGCCTGCTTGTGGAGTGCTCCCTGGGATACTGACTTACCTCTCCAATTCTGTCTGTCTTGTAGGCTGACACCCAAGTGGACCTGGTCCGCCACCATTTTTACGAAGTCTCCCTGGAGTATGTCTTCAAGGTGCAGGAGGTCCAAGAGAGAAAGATGTTTGAGTTTGTGGAGCCTGTAAGTAGATGCTCTGGGTTCACAGAGGGACCCATACTCCCTCCTCCCCCTCCCGTTCCAACTACCTAGTAGTTTATCAATTGC